GAGAGAGAGAGAGAGAGAGAGAGAGAGAGAGAGTTTCAACTAGGCAGGAAGCCTGCTGAGCTTCATGTTTTCCTCAACACATAGCATGCTCCAGCCCTTGCTTTTGCAGCCTCCTCCTCACATCACATCAACTGAAAGCATTGATGGACATACATTCATACACCCAGTGGATTTCTGAGTCTTCACAACATGCTCTGCCTTGCCTTCAAAATATATGGAGTCCATGGAACATCTTAACGTCTCCACTTGAATGTGCCTGCCTGCGTACTCTCCAGTGGCATTGGTCTTGCTGTGGGACATGCTGCTGCTCCTCGTCACAAAATATTTTCCTTCCGAATTACGTGTCTTCAGAAGCATGCAAGAATACGGCCGTCTCTTCCCTTTGTCTTTGGTAACCTCCACTCTTTGCTGGAGAAATGGAAACAATCTGGAATCGGAGGAACAAAGGTAAACATACACAACCAGTGCACATTACAATCAAACTGAGGCCATACATGGAGCTTTTTTCGACTGAATCGCGCCACAAGTGTCCTACGGTACATCCTAGATCCACCTAATGCATGTTACGAGTTGTCGAGTATGGAAAACAGTTTGACACCACGACATGCGAAGGGAAAGAACTCCAAGATATTGCAAAAGCCGAGTGGGAGAGAACTCCAAGGTGTTCCAAAAGCTGAGAAACTAAGCAAACGTTCCGGCATCTCACAGGACTCCTCACTTCAAGAGTGAAGATCAATGCATTACTGAATGGCTCACGCAGGATCATGCGGCCATCAAAAGTGAAAATCGATTCATTACTGAATGTGATCTACACCATTGCCAGTCACTGCCAAAGTTTTCTGCACCATCACATTTCCAAGCGAGCAGCAATGGACTGAAGCCGCCCGTGCGAGAACATGTACGCAACGATCTGCCAAGTTCGACCTGAAGAGTTTGACCTTCCAGCACAAGAGTGCAATCAGACTCGCTCTCATTCACACTTCTCACGTATGCAAACAGGTGCGCAGCAAACTGGCAACAAGCGCCCACTTAGAACTCAGAGTTATGGTAACCAAGAACACAGTTCAGATTCAAGTTCACTTCGATGGCTATGGCGACTCAGCGCCCAGACAACTCTCTGTTCGCATACACAGGATCACCCTGGATATCCCACACGCGATACTCTGTACACATACACACACTCACACTGCACGCTATCTACAGCTATGGCGGTTATGGCCGCTACTACCCTATCGCTATGGCTAACTCCTTCTCTCTCGCCCACTTCGTCCTCAGGCTCACTGCAGACCTTCTTGCACAAGTCGCTTATGGCAGCGCTTCCGCATGGCTCACGCAGGAATGAATGAATGACTGGGCGCTGCCTCTTGATTTATACTTCTGCGGCTCGTTGGTCTGGCCCTTTCCCATGTCCGTGGTGCACACATTCCCATGCGGTACTTGCTTGACTGGACTAGGACTGACTGGGACTGGGACTGCTGACTCAGCACGGGTAGACTCCACCACTTGCCTCACCACTTGCCCACTTGCCTCAGCCTAAACGTGGGCAACTTCGAAAGGCCACTACTGGGACCTTCCGGAAGGCCGTAGACTTGGCCTTTTGAGACTGTAGCAGCTACGACCTTGACCTTTCTGGACTGTAGCAGCTACGACTTCTAGACCTGACTAGGTGTGGCATACTGCGTAGCCACACGGGCCCTGCAGGGCCCGTCCCACACTTTCAGCCTAAAAGCCTAGAAAATAGGGCTTACAGGCCCCGGTCGTTTCAGCCTGAAACTGAAAAACGAGGGCCTGCAGGCCCTATTCCGTTTTCAGCCTATTTCTGGGCCTTTCAGGCCCAGAGGCTTTTCAGCCTGAAACGGAGGGCCATTTTCAGGCCCTCATTGTGTTCGACCTACCTAAGACTCGGGCACAAAAACAGGGTTTCGGGAACAGGCTATTTCTGGCCTGTTCCCCACGACAGCAAGCAGGAGCTGCAGCTGCAGCCCCTGCCTCCCTTCGGCATTGGCAAGAGCAGCCTCCTGGACTGCCTCGCCTGCAGTCAGGAGGCACCCGGTAGTACATAGGAAGTTCCCATGCACTTCACGGGGAGGTAGTTGGACAGTAGGACGGTAGTCTTCAGGATTCGGCCGCAGCACTCAGGAGGAGCGCTGCAGTAGTCTTCAGCGCTGGCAGTAGTCTTCAGCGCTGGGCGCCATAGCTGTAGGTGTAGTCTTCAGCGCTGGGTGCTAGTAGGTGGTAGTGGTAGCAGTGGAGGGAGATGGCTGGCGGAGGCCAGCAGTACTTACCTGTGGCGCCATAGCTCCAGCTCCATCTTCGAGGTACCTGCATCAAGGCGCCAACTTCACAGGTTAGTACTGGACACAGAGAGAGAGAGAGAGAGTTCTTCTTCTTCCTCTTTCAAGTCCATCTCTTCTCACCCTCTCACCACCTGACTTCTCAGACTACGACAGAGAGAGAGAGTTGTGACTTGAGACTTGACGACATTGGATCCAGACTCGACATTTGGGATTCAGACATTTTGACGAGGGACTATTTGGGCCTGTGCCGAAGACTTGGTGTTGACGACATTCCCATCTTCCCCTCCTCTTCATCTAACCCCCTTCCTCTTCGTCTGTGTATGGTTGGGGCTGGTGCAGTCTTCCTGTGTGAAGCGCCAGACTCCATTCACACCATGTAACGATGATGATGATGTATGTTCAGGGCTGCATTGCAATATTGATTGTTCGGATCATTGGTATCTAAGTCTTCCGCTACGCTATCTTGTACTTTGTATTGAGAGGTCGGTTCTTGTTCTGGTCTGCACAGTTACAGTATGCAACAGTTTGGTATCGGAGCGGACCTCTCATTCAGAGGACCCGCTCAATCAAGTAGCCCGCTTGCTTGATCTATTGATCACTCATTAGTAAATCAAGTAGGACTTCGTCAAATCTCTGAAAAAAAAAATTCTCGCAACAACTATCTGAAAATTTCTGATCTTCGCATTTCGTTTTACCTGAAAATTTCTGACATTGGTATTTCGTTTTCACGTAAAAAATATCTGAAAATTTCTGATAAATCGCATTTCGTTTTGTCTGAAAATTCCTGATAGTAGCATTTCGTTTCTCTGATATTTCGCATACATAKCTGAAATTTTCTGATGTTAGTATTTCGTTTTCTAGGCATATTGGGATAACGATAGAAGTGGTCATATTCTCGGAAACCGGAATTATTCTTTTCTGAAAATCGAATTTCCATTCTATCTTGCAATTTTTTTTTGAAAACCGAAATCTTGCGAAGCCTACCAACATTTCGTTAGGCATATTCGGAGGTTGCCATATTCTCAGAAACGGGATTTCATTCTTTCTGAAAATCGCATCTTTACTCCTTTTCGCAAAATTTGTTTTTTCAAAGATCGAATTGTGTAAAAGCCGAAACTTTGCGGAAACTAGCCTAGATCTCGTTCATAGTACTACTCTGACATGTCTCACTCATAATAGATCGACAGATATACAAAAAAAAAACAAAAACAAAAAAAGGAAGTAGTCCTCTTTTATTTTTTTATTTTTTTATCTGTTGATTAGGGCCGGAGGAAAGTACTGTTGGGTTGGTTGCCTACCTACGTTTTCCCTCCCACCCACCCCTTTGCATGCATTTCTGAGTTGGTACAGTGCCACGTCAGCAACAGTGCCACGTCAGCAGTGTCACGTCAGCAGTGCCACGTCAGCCACAGTGCCACGTCAGCAGTGCCACGTCAGCCACAGTGCCACGTAAGCAACATTGCCACGTCAGCAGTGCCCCGCCACCATGACGGGCACAGCGCTGGGCATGCCAGGCCAACTGGCCAACGAGTCTCTTGCCGACTACAAACAGCGGTTCCGGACTCAGCTCGCATCGATCGAGGCTCAGGAACAGCGCCAGCTGGCAGCCGAGGCTGCCCGCCTACAGGCTGAAGCAGCGGCTCCAAGCCGAAGCTGACGCAGATACCCAGGCACGCCGCAAGGAAGCCCAGGATCTGCTGCAGCGGCATGAAGCCGCCAGCATCGAAAGACTCAAGTTCTGGCACTTTCAACCGTCCAACGGCGACGACGCGACACCGGAGGAGCAGCACAAGGAGTTTATGGCCAAACTCATGACCAGGCTGGTTTACACTTGTAACCACCTGCAGTCCGAGCTGGCGAACCTCCAGCTGGCCGTTCGGAACCATAAGCCTCAGCACGAGGATGCCACACGGGCACTTGACGCCCGTGTACAGGACTTGGAACAAATTCCACCAAGACCGGAGGCTGGTGAATCCAGCAGTGCACCATCTGCCCGCCAACTGGAGGAACGCGTTGACCACGTAGTGGCAATGCTAGGAGACATCAGTGCCATCGCAGAGCCGGCCACCATCAGCCAGCGGTTCAATGTGCTGGACACCAAGATCAGTCAGCAACAGCAAACTGACCACAGCCACAACAACAGCTCGGCGAGGCCTTACAAGATGCCGACGTTCCGGATCGAGAAATTTGATGACTATACACATCAAGACCCGGTCGTCAGGTGGCAAGGATTTACAACGGAGTTGGGGATTCACGAGGTCCCCGACCATCTGTTCATCAGCGCTCTGTTCATCAACACCAAGGGAGGATGTCAGATCTGGCTCAGCCACATGGCAACCATCCACGGCGTCCAGGTTACAGACCTGCACAAGAAGGTCTCCTGGGAGGATATGACAAAGGAATGGAAGAAGCGGTTCATCGTCGACGACGCCCCGACACTCGCCATCAACCGCATCTTCACGATGACTCAAGGGAGCACACCGACACGTGACTGGCTCACGGATTGGCAGAAGATCGTGGCCACGCCCGATCCGGACTTGCCATTTCCGCATCTGCGCCGTGAGTTCTACAACATGTCATGCGCCGCTCTTAGCCTCGCACTGGGTGATCGCGAGCAGTACAACACTTTCGCAGAGATCATCAACAAGGCGAGAGAGATCATCAAGACCAACAGGGCGGCTGCACACTAGAAGTCAACGTGGCAGCCAACCTATGTGGAGAAGGCAAGAACTGGTCCGCGACAGCAGCAGTTCGCTGCAGTCCAATCGGACAACACTGTGGAAGACCCGGCAACCACCCAAGCGTCACGTGAGGGAGATCAGGTGGTTGCTGTCCAGTCGCGAAGCAACAACAAGCCCCGAGTGAACGGTGTCGAGCGCATCGGTCCCGCACGGGGACCCTCCTGGCCGCGTCACGCAGGATTTGGCAGGACTTGTCGCGGTTGAGTGTGTTGCCACTCCGGCCGAGTGCGCCAGCCGTACCTCTCACGCGCCTCTACGACAGGACAGGGCCACGCGAGGCACCGCTACCTCCACCTGTGGGAGCTGTCACCATCCCTTAGGTGGGCGTATCCCCGCCGAGCTACTGAACCACATGCGAAAGTTGTTCATATGCAATTGCAGAGGTGGCCCAGCCGAGGGCGTTTCTCGTTCGCTGTAGCATAGGGGGTACGCGCGGTCAAACGCCCGAAATCGAACCCGCACGCGAATCGCCGACACTGGGGGGCTGAGGTCCCAAGCGCGATTCTACGTCGGTCGACTAGGACGCATTACACACACCACGCGTTACACCACTTTAAGACAACAACTCACGCATACACACACACACAAACAAAACAAAACACTCCCAGTCCCTTTGGTATCCAACCCATAACCTTCTGAGGTGAGAATCAGATTGTCACCGCGCGTTGGACTTGGTATAAAAGTCGCGCGAACACCCAACGCACATATATGTACATATATATAGAAATATATAGAAGGTTATAAATATGTGACGATCACTTCTCATAATCACAGTGGGATTCCTCTCAGCCATATATACTTAAGTGATCGTAGGCAGTCAAATCCAAAGTCCGAATCACCAAACATACCTGCAATCACATCGAAGATCCAACCAAAAGTCCATGCACTACACGGGGTCAACTTCAACCATTCCTTGCACTCACACCTGTTACGGACTTCGCCAGGGCTCGATCCCTGGTCTATCTTTTGCTGTTTCGGCTGCATCCCGTTTTCGGCCTGGCACCCTTTTTTCCAAACCCCTCCTTTGGTACCGTAGGATTTTGGACAACTGGCGCCATGCTGCAATTCGGGCGCCACTTTCAAATACTGCATTTTTCAGTTCTGCCCTCGGGGCCTTTGCAGAAATGCCCCTGGTACCGT